CTACATCAATGTTCACAGCAGCTCAATTCACAATAGCAAGACTGTGGAACCAACCTAGATGCCCTTCAATAGACGAATGGATAAAAAAATGTGGCATTTATACAAAATGGAGTATTACTCTAAATTAAAAAATGACAAAATCATAGAATTTGCAGGGAAATGGATGGCATTAGAGCAGATTATGCTAAGTGAAGCTAACCAATCCCTAAAACACAAATGCCAAATGTCTTCTTTGATATAAGGAGAGTAACTAAGAACAGAGTAGGGACGAAGAGCAGGAGAAGAAGATTAACATTAAACAGGGATGAGAGGTGGGAGGGAAAGGGAGAGAGAAGGGAAATTGCATGGAAATGGAAGGAGACCCTCAGGGTTATACAAAAGTACATACAAGAGGAAGTGAGGGGAAAGGGAAAAATAATACAAGGGGGAGAAATGAATGACAGTAGAGGGGGTAGAGAGAGAAGAGGGGAGGGTAGGGTAGGGGGATAGTAGAGGATAGGAAAGGCAGCAGAATACAACAGACACTAGTATGGCAATATGTAAATCAATGGATGTGTAACTGATGTGATTCTGCAATCTGTATATGGGGTAAAAATGGGAGTTCATAACCCACTTGAATCAAAGTGTGAAATATGATATATCAAGAAACATGTAATGTTTTGAACAACCAACAATAAAAAATTAAAAAAAAAAAACAGACAACTTTGGAAAGTCAGCTCTTTCTGTGCCTCAGTTTCCTTATCTATAAAATAATGGTCAGATAATGGCAATGATTATCACAGGTATTATAATCTCAAGAGCAAAACTAGTAGCTATATAAAATTGATTTTTTAAAATATTAAATTCTATTGTGAAAAAGCACTATGTCAATTTATAATCCTATAACACAAACCAGTAGGAAGTAACTTAGAAGAGCCTCATGGGGATTTATCTATATCGTATATGTTGTAGAACTGGGGGACACAATAACAGTCTGGTTTTTGTTTTTTGCAAATTTCTCAGAGAAGCAAACACTGAATATTTAATGCAAGCTTGAAATTAACCCATTTTTTAAAATGAACATTGAGTGTGATGTGAATGAAATAGCATGTTGGGAATCTACTTGGATAAAGTGATCAAAAAGTAAACTGAGTACAAAAAGGAAGGGGCAATGAGATGAGCTTGGGAGGTACCCAAGCACATGCAGGCCTTTGCAGGTCATGGTAAGGGACTTGGATTTATTCTAAGTACTTTGGAATATCACTGAGGGTTTGTTGTTGTTTTGTTTTGGTTTTGTTGTTGTTGTTTATTTTGGTTTTGGCAGTACCAGTGACTGAACCCACTGAACCACATTCCTAGCCCTTTTTATTTATTTATTTATTTTTATTTTCAGATAGTATCTCACTAGATTGCTTACAGCCTCACTATGTTGCTGAGGCTAGCCTTGAACCTGCGATCTTCCTGCCTCAGCCTCCCACAGTTTTGTTTTTTTTTTTATTTCATTTTTTAGTTGTTGATGGACTTTATTTTATTTATTTTCATGTGGTGCTGAGAATTGAATCTGGTGCATCACTCATGCTAGGCAAATGCTCTACCACTGAGCCACAACCCCATCCCATCCCAGAGTTACTAAAAGATATTTCAGTCCTCTATTTAAGTTTGAATAGACAGGTTTGGGGAATCATAGAAGTCCCTAACAGGGATGACCATGTCAGGCCTGAGATGTGGCTGCTTCTCGGAGCCTCCCTGACTTCCCCCAACTCCATCTTCATCCTTAAAACCCCCACCCAAACACCTCAGATCCTCAGATGATTTGTATATCCTACTATTATATTTTAGAACTCTTCTGCATAATTCTTTTTTTTTTCTTTGCCACACTGGGCATGGAACCCAGGGATACTCTACCACTAAGCTACACCCTCAGCCTTTTTTATTTTAAGATAGGCTCTCCCCAGTCTGCCTGGCTTCTTTTGCATAATTCCCCTAATCACATCCAAATTCGTGATTCAAGATTTTATCTTATTTAATCTTCAAATTGCCTTCAAAACCTAAATGTTCCATAAATATTTATTGAATTAATTAATACATAAGTTCATTGATTCCCAGCAATCAATACGCATTTGAATCACTTGGGAGAATTAAAATATTCATACCAGAGCTCCATCCAAGGTGTTCCAGCTCACCCAATTCAGGACCTTTGTTGTAAGAGCTCCCAGGTGATTCTGATGTGCAATCAGAGTGGACACCAGAGGAAATGTCCTCATTCTGGGTGCTCTGCAATATTACCTAGGTGTGTCATACCCACTCTGTCCCCTCTAAATGTCTGTATAGCTTATTTTCCTCATAATTGATGAAATCATATGAAAGTGTCCCCGTTATCTGAACTTTAAAGATATTAAAAATAATGCACGTTGGAGTCTATCATAGAGGGGTTGTTGGATATAGCTTATGATATTACTAATACAGGTAATTTGCATTTTCCATGTATGCTTTCAATTAATTTTCTTTTGGAAGGAGAAGATGAGTTACTATCTTTCATTAAAACAGTGAAATAGACATCGAAAACCTGGGTGACTTACTTTTTTTATGAGCTATGAACCCCAAAAATACTCAAACAAGGAAGGATTTAAACCATCATTTCTTAAGTACTCAAAAAGTATGGCCATGGTATGTTTAGCCAAGTGTTTTGATTTTAGAAAGGGAAATTCTATATTTAATTCTATATAATGTGTATATAATAACATAATTTTAAGGCACCTGCTTCAAAATAGAAACTGGGATGTTAGGGAAAATAACATTCAACAGAAATTAAACCAAACTGGGCTCAGTGCCCAGGAAAACTAGCCAGACTCTAAGAACTGGGCAAGGAATAAACTAATAGGGAAAGACAGTGGGAATGGATAGAATTATAACTGTTTCCATCAAAAATGGCCACTGTCCAGTGTGATCACAGCTGAGGAATTTTGCTGGGACACTTGTCATTGTGGGTGGGGTTCCTGCCCTTCTCATTTTAATGACAAACTTGCAATGGAACTTGCCCTCCTAAAAAGTGAATTTTAAACATGCCAGGCATATACAGTGATCTTGCATTGAATTTGAGTTTTTATAATGCTGTAAACTAATTGGAAACAAATGGACCTGAAATAAAAATAGGAGTTCATAACAACTTTAACTGAAGTTAGAAGGAAAGCCTTCAAGTTTCTCAAGACGCTTAAATGTCATATGATTTACATAAACAAGGGAGGAAATCCTCTTTGTGTGTTTAGGGGTGTGCGTCTAATACAGGAACCCGTGTTTTCCTGTTATTGAAAAGCATTCTTTCTTTAATCTTTTAAGCACATTCTGGGCCTGCATGTATTCCAGGTGTGTGTTTTCTTTGACATTAAAATATAAGAGCAGAGTACAACTATCAGAGGAACCTATTAGGACTCCTATTTATGTCATAGGAGATGCAAAAAATAAATAAATAAACAAACTGAAATAAATGGATGGACAGAGCTCTGGGCACACTAGTAATATTGCCTGAATTTACTTATGGGAATGGTTATTCCGAATGGGATGGAGCCTATGAAGAGAGGCCATTTGTGATAAAGACTATAAAATCTCCTCTGATTATGGGTATGATCATGATGACTTTTTAACCGTAAAAGTAAATTTAAATAGTGTAAAAATGTCCAGAAGCTGTTGGGCAAAAATAACTGAAATAATGGGCAGTAAACCAAAACATTATTTGAAGTTTAAAAAAAAAAAAAAAAGAGTTTGCTAAGTACTGGCTAGGAGCAAGGGGGGAGATTGTACTGAGACCATAGGGACTCTTCAGAGCTGGGCTTGTGGATGCTCACTGTATCCAAAGGCAGAGTATCTTCCTTCCATGCTTTTCTGTGGTCTCTGCTCTCCTACTTCAGTGACCCCAGATACTACAAAGCGTTTTTTAATGCCTGAACCATAGAGACTTCTAATCATCAAATGTGACTGGAGCAAATGCTTTCTGTCCCTTGTCCCTCGAGAATCCTTTTCTTTTTGCCATCTTTCAAGCATCTGCCGAATTATTGAAAACAACAACAACAAAAAAGAATATGTATTTTCTTCTGACACAGCTACTCAGGCCTCCGCAGGCTGTGATTAGCTCAAATTCTTTGCAGCGCATGGTGCTCTCTGCTTTCCCTAATTCCTCCATGGCATCATTTCTCTTTAATCTTTACTAACTTCCACATCCAGGACTCAGGAGGAGCTTTTAGGAAAGTGCTTTTAAGACCGTTAATTACCTCTCCCACCATTATTAGTCTCTAAACCACCAAGTAAGCAGATGTAGAAATGCTCAGGGTGACTTTGTCCTGGTGTTTGACATCAATCTGAGAGGCGATGAAGTCCATCTGCAGTTGGAAGGGGGGAAACTGCCGGAGGCTAAGTAGGGGTGGCCGTGGTCCTGTGAGTATAGTGACTTCAAAAATTCATATGTGGGGACTTTGCCCAGAATTCCAGATATAGTCGTAATCAGATGCAAACTATATATACACTGGATGATATTATAAAAACAAATAGTTCTTTTTTATTTATTTTTTTGGTTACTTGAGAGTTGAGATTACTCCTTATCACTGAGGCCTCAGGTATTGATACACTATCAAACTGTAAATAAGCATTATGGTTTCCCCGGGGAGCTTGAAACTTTCACTTCCTTTAAAATTTAGCCCTCCTAATGAACCCAGCCTGATGCCTGTCAGCCCCACATGCTTCTTTCCCTGCAAGCTGTAATTGTGCACTTGTAGCCTCTATTAAAGGTTTTTTGTGTTATTTAGTTAAGCTGTTTTTTGTTTGATTGGATGAAGACATAAAGGAAGCAGCTTTTGCAGTTATGTTATAAACAGCTAGAGAGGGGAGACTGAAACTTCTATTTCTTTTGCATTCATATCCCCCCACCAAAGGCACACATTCATTCAGATTCTCTCCATCGTGCATACACACTGAAGGAGAATATAAACCAGCCTGCAGGCCCACTAATGTCTCTGGTCTTTTCTTGGCAGTGACAAACAAGAAGCCCACACAGGCATCTATCACGAAGGTCAAACAGTTTGAAGGGTCCACATCGTTCGTGCGGAGATCACAGTGGATGCTTGAGCAGCTTCGCCAGGTTAATGGTATCGATCCTAATCGGGTGAGTGAATAGCTCTATGCTGGCTGAAGGAATTCTCTTTACAAGATGATTCTGATTGACCTTGGTAGTGGTGGGGGTGGTTTGAATCATCCCAAACAAGACTGTCAGCCCCACATGCCTCTTTCTCTATTTCAGTCATGGAACTAAAACTTCCTATGCCTCTTCACTTCCTATAGGAAATTACAGATCTAGTTCTTTTGTTTGATGGAGCACCCAAAGGGATGTTTGTTGCAGAAATGCTGCCTCCAGTGACGTTCATAGCAGAGGGCAAGTCTCATCAAAGCTGCATTTGTCCCCCAATGCCACCAATGACAAGGATTATCTACCAAGAATCAAATCAGTTAATGACACCTTAAGAATTTTGTACTAGTATTCCTTTGGATTTAACAAGAGAAACATTTATGATATAGATATATATTTAAAATACCATCCCTTTGCATATATGTATGTACACACCCCCAAAACACCAATAATGAAGAAGAATAAAATGTAAATTGTTGTTTTCTATTAAAATAAGGGAGATTCTCTTACTACCAAAGTTTAGGGGCAAGATTAATAGAGGTCAATGCTGAGAACCTGAGGTCATCCATCTTCCGAGTAATTGGGAAAATAAAACAGTTGGAATTCTGACCATCAGTGTGTAGTTAGACTGTCTTTACTTCTGTAATACTAACTTTCTAGGGACATCTATAAATTCCATGTGATTTGAATTTTGCTTGATATACATAGAAACATGGACCCTCCACACACTTGGGTCGTAATAAAGCTGAGCCTTACAATTGGTACCACAGTCTTTGTTTTAGCCTTTCTGAGTCTTTTGACAGGGGAAAACTGGAAGCAGCAGTCTTTATAGATTGAGATCAGTAGTTATCTCACTGTCTTTTCCAGGATTCTGCAGAGTTTGATTTGTTGTTTGAAAATGCTTTTGACCAGTGGGTAGCCAGCACAGCCTCAGAAAAGTGCACCTTCTTCCAGATCCTCCACCACACCTGCCAGAGGTACCTCACAGACAGGAAGCCGGAGTTTATTAACTGCCAATCCAAAATTATGGGAGGTGAGTGGGCATCTGTGTGACTTTAGTCATCCTGTTTCCTTAGACTTGCTTCTTTATATAAAAAAAATATTCAGCAGCATAATTAAAAGCATACAAAAGAATCAAAATGCTCTGAAGTAGGCAGCATTAAATTATCTTAGAGAGTGTACACTGTGCTACATCTAGACACAGTGGTATGTTTTCACTCTTACACAAAAGATGGTCTTTTTAGAACAATGAGCCACCTTTCACTTTTTCTTGTTTACCCCCTTTTCTATAATTTCTCCGCAGAACACTATTTTCTGGGTTGCTTTTTCCTGTTATTTCTCAAGTTGTTTTACAAATGCTAATATAAAAATTCCAATTGATTTTGTCCCTTTTTTTGAAATAATATCCAGTCTCATGTTTATTCCTTGGCACACAAAAATGAGTTAGAATGAGGGCCATAAGCCAGTGTTACAGGGTGAGTACCATCTTAGGCAGCACAGTGAGACACTTTTAGAGGGTGATCACACATTTCTTTTAGGTGGCAAGTCTTTTTAGGGAATTCAAACTGTGCTAAAAATATAAAAGACTTGCCAATCACTCTGAGTTGGAGAAGAGTTATTTTATATCATTGGTCTTTTTGCTGACCTGTTTTCTTGGTTTTGCAAAATGTGTTTTTAAAAATGCACCAATTTTGCCTTAATAAATATTAAATGAAAATCACAGTAGAGATTCTGCCTCTTCTCCTTGGCCTTTCATATATTCTTCATTTGAATTTGGGGTGGAATCTACTATTCTGTCCCCAGCTGAAGCACACACTCTCACTTTGCCATTAGTCTGCATGACGTCATATAGAGAAAACAATGTCCAATTCTTTATTATTATCCTTGGAAGTGTTTGTATTACTCTTAAACTGAAAGATAATGATCCAAATAACCTTGAAAGTCTTTCTTAAGCATTGATGCAGTTTTTTATTATAGCTTCTCTGTTTAGTCCTAGAAAAATATAAGAGGTGATATGTGGTGCATATTTTCTTCAAAGTGGCCACTTCTTGTTGGACAAAAACAAAGTTAAATATTTAAAGGAAATGTCAACCAACACCAACCTCTGTGGCAAATATAATGAGATGGAACTCTCTCTCATGCCTGTGCCATCAGTGATCTTCAAATGAACTCTGCTTTGGAAATCCAACCTTAACTGATTTGGTAAAAGATTGCAGTACACTGGGTTTTGGACTAGTGGTGTCTGTTTTTTGTGAATGAAAAGTTGGACAGAATACCCAGCTTTCCCTTTTTCTTCATTAGCTCTTAAGTTAGATCTGTTATAGCTTAAGATCAGATTACTTTCTTGATCTTCACTTCTTGCTGTGGAACATTTCTCTCATTAGTGTCAGTGTGGTCAGCAGCTTGTATGGCTATCAACCATAAAAATAGTGTGCCTTTATGGATTTGAAATTGCTATTGCTCTTGGAGAAAGACTCTTCCAGAGCATTTTACTTCTTCATGAGAGGCCAGAAGCAAGTGCAGTTCCATGGGAACGCCTGCATTTCTAAGATGTTCTCTTTGAATATCTCAGCTTTCCCATAAGTCCAGCCAGCTGTCTCTGTCAATCATTGACCCAGTCCTTTAGATATCTTCATTTTTGAACACCAAATGATGCAGAGTTGAGATGAGAACCCATATATCTAAAGTTACATTGTTTGTATGTGTATTGGATAAAGTTCAATATTGCTTTCTTACAGTCTGAGAAAGAGTAAGTTTAATGAGATCAAGTCCCAGAAAAAAGTTTGTGGTAAGCCTGTTGTAATTTGTTGGCAGCACATATGTCCTTAATGAATGTAGTCTGTCTTATTTAAACAGTTGCTGATCCTTGATAACAGTTGTACCTACACACCCTGATAAATTAGTGTGCTCATTAGTCTTCCTTTCTGCTACTTATCACAATCCTGAGACTTAAAAATGATGTATTTCTGGGATCACTATATCCTGACCCCTTTAACTTTTGCCTACCTGTTCCATCTTAGGCAGATGAACAACTTTCCTTATTTCACAAAATATTTTGATGTCTCCTTATACTTAGGCCACAATGTTTATTGTACTTTGAAACATGTTAGTTTTGTGATTTTAGAGAACAAATGTTGGTGTTGGTATGCTGCCCTCCACCAGACTCTTTACATGTCTTATCTTACTTAGTTTTTAAATCAGCCTTTGGAAATACAATGTATTATCTTCATTTTACAGAGAAGGAAACAGGATCAGAGAGATTATTAAATAGCTTGCCAAGGGTCACATCAGTAGTGAGTAGTGGAGATTAGATTTCAACACAGGCTCGCTGAGCTCTAAAAGTATTTTCCTCAGGGTCTCTGAGTGGCACATGCCAGGAAACCTCATTACACTGCCTTTGGTATGAATGGCGCCCTCTGGAGTTGTGCAGTAATATTGTTGGAAGTATTTTAGCGAGCACATTCCTGTATTTGGAACAGTGAATGGGGGGTAGGAGGGAGAGCATTAGAGATTATAATAGTTTTAATTTTTTCTTTGTTATGTCACAGGTACATAATTACAATAATTCTTTTTCTTTTTGTCCTAAGAACCGTAGAGTCATTGAGGACCCTTAAGATCATCTTGCTTTTTGTTTTCTGTTTGGTTTTTTGTGTTTTTTTTTTTTTTCACTAGAACTTTAGATCAGGCAGATGAAATCATGGGGAAGAGATGCATCCTGGCCATGCGGGGCCTCTCAGATGCTGGGTCTCTGATATAGCCATGTCACTGGGAAAACTGAGGCATAGCAATTTGGAATGAGACTGACTGTCAAGGTCAAAGGTCTAGAAGCAAGTCTGACTCTCAATGAACTCGACTTTCTCTCAGACCAATTTTAGTATAAGATGATCATTTAAATATCTATGATCCCATGCAGTCGTGCTCTTATGTTTTCGATTGTGCCTATCCCTTGTGATAATATTTTTTATTCTTTGTGAAAGGTCATTTAAATCCATTTCAGAAATGAAATGAATTCTTTGGCATGTTTGAAATTCTTTGTTGCTCCAAAATGATATTTTCTTATCATCAGAGGACAAACTAGAAATTTTCTCATTCTCATCTCAGGATCCAGTGAAGACACAAGTGAAGTCTTTTTTAAAAAAAATTTATTATTTTTTATTTATATATGACAGTGGAATATATTACAATTCTTATTACACATATAGAGAACAATTTTTCATATCTCTGGTTGTATACACAGTATATTCACACAAATTCATGTCTTCATACATGTACTTTAGATAATAATGTCCATCACGTTCCACCATCATTAATAACTTCATGCACCCTCCGTTTCCCTCCAACCCCTCTGCCCTATCTAGAGTTCCTCTATTCCTCCCGTGCTCCCACTCCCTATCCCACTATGAATCAGCTTCCTTATATCAAAGAAAACATTTGGCATTTGGTTTTTTGGGATTGACTAACTTCACTTCACTTAGCATTATCTTCTCTAACTCCATTCATTTACCTGCAGATACCATGATTTTATTCTCTTATCGCTGAGTAATATTCCATTGAGTATGTATGCCATATTTTTTTTATCCATTCATCTGCTGAAGGGAATCTAGGTTGGATCCACAACCTAGATGCCCTTCATTTAGCTATTGTGAATTGTGCTGCTATAAACATCGATATGGCTGTGCCCCTGTAGTATGCTATTTTTAAGTCCTTTGGGTATAGACCAAGGAGAGGGATAGCTGGGTCAAATGGTGGTTCCATTCCCAATTTCCCAAGAAATCTCCATATTGCTTTCCGTATTGGCTGCACCAATTTGCAGTCCCAACAGCAGTGTATGAGTGTGTCTTTTTCCCCAAATCCTCACCAACACTTATTGTTGTTTGTATGCATAACAGCTGCCATTCTGACAGAAGTGAGATGAAATCTTAAGAGTGGTTTTGATTTGCATTTCTCTAATTGCTAATGATGATGAACATTTTTTCATGTATTTGCTGATTGATTGTACATCATCTTCTGAGAAGTGTCTGTTCAGGTTCTTGGCCCATTTATTGATTGGGTTATTTGGGTTTTTTTGGTGTTTAGCTTTTTGTGTTCTTTATATACCCTAGAGATTAGTGCTGTATCTGATGTGTGACAGGTAAAGATTTGCTCCCAATATGTAGGCTCTCTATTCACCTCACAGATTGTTTCTTTTGCTGAGAAGAGACTTTTTAGAGCTCATTGGAGCCCTCATAAGCTGAAAGAGGGCAGGAGGCTCTGAAGAAGTATGAAGGGGGAAGCATTGGCCCCTCCTCCTGCCTCATCAGCACATTTGCAGTGCTCTCCCCTCCCCTCCCCTCCCCTTCCCTCCCCTTCCCTCCTCTCCTCTCCTGTTCATGGTTAGAGGATCATTAAGTTAGGATGGACCCTCAGCTTATCCTAACCTCCACTCTACCTTGAAAAAAATACAAAACTGTTCATTTAGTTTGCTGGGTCCTTAAGCTATCTACTGATCCACAGAGACTGGAGACAGAGGTGCGGAGCCAGTTCTATCTGCTGAGATGAAACATGACATCTTGAATGACATGATATCTTGAAAGTGAAGTTCACATGGGTTGAATCTTCTTCTTCTAAAATGGAGGCTTTTACTTTTTCTGTTTACTGTAAACAGAGATGATGTTATACTGTTATATGTGTAATAACACATTTACACTTGAATCTAGGACTACAAAAGAGAGGCTTGCTTTTAGCTAAGTCATTTCAAAGAAAGGTGGTCTGCCCCAAATAGAGCATCAGTTTAGATCTTGAGCATTTCCTATTAATTCAAGGTCCCAAAGAAGACTTTGGGTTTTTTCTTACTTCATTGTTCTTATAAAATGTGAACAATTCCCACATGGCTCCCACATTGCTACTTTATTTTACTGACCTTTTGTAATGATAATTGTTGGTCTTTTATTTTTATGTCTAATATAGGTTGAGTATCCCTTATCTGAAATGCTTGAAACAAGGTTTTTAGATTTCAGCTTCTGGACTTTGGAATATTTGAACTTATATATAATG